ACTCGAGCTCATCGTCAGGCTACAAGCGATCGCGATTCATCCAAGCAAGACAATATCGAAGATGCAACACGCGCTGTTCACGTCCATTTGCTTGCGTCGTTCGGCGCCCACTCATTGATCGTCCGCTGTCGTTGGTCGCAGCTGTTTGCTGCATCCTGCACGGACTGCATCGAAGCCACAAAAATTAGCGATAATAACGACCCCGACTCGATTCGTGGACCAAACGTTCCCACCCAGTTTGAATCGAACGCGTCACCGCGACCCCCAAGGCGCAGACTGACAAAATATTAATTCAATAAAGAAATGAACCCCTTTATTACGGGAGCCTCTTTCGCCGTTGTGTTCTTTTCGGCATATTTTACTTGCAGCGCGGGAAGAAGCGTATAGTGTCCTTTTAATACATTGTCAGAATCACAGTGATTATATCTCAGCCTTTTCTCTGTCTGTTTTTGGCTCCGCTAAGGCGCTGAAGTGTGTGTGTGTTTAGTTTTGTTTTTACTCTGGGGACACACAAGTGCTCCGCCACCAAGTTTCGCAAATCTGCAACGATGTCATAAAAGTGTTTATGGGATATCACTTGCACCCTTCCCATCGGAGTGCGCGCGGTTGTGGAAGCGGTGGATGACGTACTGAATTAATAGGCCTCCTTCGTATATAAATGGTATGATGAGGGCTAAGAGTTTCCACAGATTTTACGAGGCGTCGTATTAACGAAAGAGTATGGTAAATGGGCGCTTGAGCATAATGTACACGTGACGAACGCTGCGAGCCTGGAGCATTGTCATTTCTAGCACTTTACATAGGTGCATAGCATAGCACTCTACATAGGTGCATAGCATAGCACTTTACATAGGTGCATAGCACTTTAAATAGGTGCATAGCACTTTACATGGGTGCACAGGTACATAGCAACGTCCACATGCCTCGACAGCCCACAAGGCAGTGAAAGCCCTGCTGTGTTTCCTGAGAAAGACAGGCTTGTGTGAACGCCTCTGACATGCGGTAGAGTTCTGCACGCTGCAGTGAAATTACTGTCAGTCTCTCCCCCACCTTTTTTCTTTTCCCTTTCTTCCCTCTTTCTCGTCTTTCTTGTCCCCTTCCCTAATCCCCCAGTGTAGGGTAGCCAACCGGATGTCTTTCTGGTTAACCTCCCTGCCTTCTCCCTTTTGTTGCTTCCTCCTCCCCTACATAGGTGCGGTGACTGTAGCGTGGGTCTTAGAGGCGTTGTCTTTAGAGCACGGGAGGAAAACTTTGATAAGTAAACATAATGCTTTAGCACATAATTGGTTGGCAGTAGCATCCTGGCGGCTCGGGTACTTGAGATTTAATAAGAATATCTGGTGTTTTGTGTGTCAAAACCACGGTATGACTATGAGTCACTCAGTCGTCTGCGCAGGGCAATGGAAGTTTTAACCGCCTGGTGTTCTTGAAGGTGCCCTGGCATCGCACAATACACGGGCCTGTAGCATTTCGCCTCCATCTGAATGTGGCTGCCGGGGCCGGCATCGAGCCCACGACCTTCTGGTCAGCAGCCGGACACCTTAACCGTTACACCGCCATGGCAAACGTGAATTTCAAGTTTACCGCAGAATGTCGGCCTGAACGTTCTTTTTTTTTTTTTTTTTTTGAGAGAGAGCGAGTCGCACATTTCGACAAGTAATATGTCACTGGCAACTTTGTTCATCGAAGTTCTGCTCACCCTATATTTATGCTCACTTTTGAGGTAATAAAAGTGTCGAAATAACTTGTAGAGGTTCCCGTTACCACACGACGATGTTCGAAGGAAGTGCTCTAGGCATCTTTATCCCACTGTATGAATTTTAGGCCTGATGATTATTAAGGCGAGTAATGAGTGCGTTATGACCTGGTTACCGAAGGACACATGCACACGAGCAAACAAAGCCTGTGCGGCAGTTTATTTTTTTCGTTTTTCATTCGTCGTCCGTGTAGTTTTTTTTTTTTTCTTAGCATTCATGCCCCGAGCGTCTTTATAGTTGTGACCCTATATAGTATGGGCACAGTTACTGAACAAGCTTAGTTATTAAGAGCAGCGTTTTCCTTCACCATAACTAATACATGCCCCCTCCCCCCATTCACACACACACGCACGCACAAACAGAAGAAACAGAGTAAATAACAAAAAAGCAACGTCGCGACACTGCAGCCGACGTCACCAAGAACGGAACCTCGAAAGGCCGTGCAATGCGGCCAAGGGATCAAACGAGCCGCTCGGCTTACTCACCGCGTGCAAAGGGGCGGCGAGAATGCACAGCCGAGAACCGTTGTTGCGATTAGCCGGCCGCAACCTCGACCTACACAACAAACAGGCGCCCTCTTCGGCTAATTGTTGTTGTTTACCTCCCCGAGGACGGCTCGCGTGATCAGCATGGAAACCCGAAAACCACTTCGTGGCATTGTTCTGTCCAGCGTGAAGACTAGGACAACCGAATACGGTTTATATTGTTCCGGTGTCTCTGGTGGTAAGCCTCGCTGGCGGCGGCTTGCCCCGTTGAACTGGCGTGCTCACGAGCACAGGGCTTGTGTTCTGGCTACTGGACGGGCTCTCGTGCGCGGGGTGAGTCGTGAGTTGTCGTAACCAGCACCTCCACCGATGCTGTCACGCTCAAGGCAACCTTGCGTTGAGTTAGGCTTAGCGGCTCAGTCCGAACTTCTTTCTCCTCTTTCACGGGTGCACGCGAAACCGTGGGGCAATACGTATGCGCAATGAACCGTGATTAGCTGCCGGTGAGATTAGCCGTGGAGTAGGTCAACCACAGCGTTCCAAGGACATTTCACACTGCATTCCAGTCTGCCGAGCTGCCGACTTGCTTTTTATATCATGGCCATAACAGCTGTATAGCCTTGTTTACCCGGCATGCATCGACGCTGTTCTCTAACAGTGTATACAGGTGGCAGAACGAGGCTTTGCTCGAAAAAGCCATGGCCAGCGCAATCTGTGCAAGGAACGCTGTGTATCGCCCATAGTTACCAAACTCCAACCCTTCGTTGACTCATGCACGCAGTGACGGCCAGTCCTTTCTGAAGTGTGTGCGTCAGTCGAACTGCGATGTTGTGGCTGATGCGCATGCGTGAATCGCACTCGCTTTTGTATACGAGACTGGCGTTCTGTTACAAGGATAACGGATTCAACTCCCGATTATGGCTGCTTCATTTAAAATGAGAGGCTGCAGGGGGCGGAAGTCGAAAACATGTTCCTCCTAACTAAAGACTCGTTATGATACTTTCAAAAAATAGGGCAATTAGGCTTCCAAAGCAATGTCGAATGGCGCCACTCCTATTACCGCAACTGGGAATTCCACAATATTCCTGTCGCCACAACACTTTTTGTTGGTGGTGGTTCTGTCAGAAATGAAGACTAGTAGCACCACAACCACCACCCCCACATCCGCGCAAGAACAGATCACTTGTGGTGCATCACAATTAAGTCATTGCCCCCTATATAGCATTGCTACGTGCCGAATGTGAAGACCATGTGCGCACGTGTCCTTGCCGCTGCCTCTGTCACATCCGGTGACAAGCCTCCTTCGCCAACAGCGTCTATCCCCAGTAACGCAATGCCCGGCCGCAAGAGCGGCCCACCCAAACTTGACCTTGGGTTCTCGCTCCACTTACGCACGCAGTAACTATAATAAAAAAGGAAAGAAGAAAATAAGCTGTATGGGCACGTTAGGCACAGCGGTACGATGGTAAACAATCTTCCGAGAAGAAGAATCAACACTAAAGTATTGCCCAATACAGAGCGGAAAGTAAGATATCTTCAATTTAATGTATTCTGAGATAATATGTAACGATACAAATTAAATGTGTATTCGACAATCGCAGCTTGACATGCATGTGGCAAATTAAATGTTCAGTGTCAGAGCCATCTAAACGCGGGGAAGATCCCCAAAACGCTGGCCTCGGATAGCCCAGAGGCAACTTAGCAGTTGCTGTTTCACTTGTCACGTGATCGCAGACTGCGGTGGCGAGCTATGAGCTGGCCGCCGCCTACGCCGCGACATCGACACAAGCGCCTCAGTATGTCGACGGCTTCTACCGCGGTTTAGAAAGAAGAAATGGGTCTATGAAGAACGAATCGGCTCTCAGTAAACGTGTAAAAATGTAACTGTGATTTGAACCATAAGAGCTTTAATGATCTCGTGTGAGTATTGCACAATTCCTCTTGCTGGATAACTGAGAGCACGCAAAAAAAATCAAATGCGGAGCACATCTGCAAGGTACGGGTCACGAAACAATTCCCAGTGGAGGCATCTTCCCGAAAACGAAACTGGAATGAATTGCGAGTTGTCGGCAGAGCAAAGGAACGGCCGTGCTTTCGAGGGAAAATGTTATCTTGGCTGACGAAACTTGTAAAGCAGGTATGGCCACCCGAGCATGCATTTTTAAACCTTCGTTAGTAGCCGCCGTAGTCTCTACATAGGTATGGAAACGCACCATTTCCTGCAGAGGAACAACCTCGTTGTAGGGTTCGCTCGAAACTGCGGCTACTTTTGTCGTTATATTCAGACAACACGCGTGTGGTAAACTTATTCGTGATGCTAAGGGTGCCACCGAGAAATCGATTTCAGAACAGTTTGTGCCATAGTTTAGCTGTGTATACAGGGTGTTTCAAAAATTTTTTTTTCAATATTCCTTAAAAACCAGCAAAAGACGCTATTTGCTCGCCGTCTTTGCAGTTGCTTTCTTTCTGTAGCGGCAGGCATCTTAAGAGGGTTGAAGACACCATTTTTAACAATTAAGAAAGTAATATTAACTAGCTTTTTAATTAGTGTTATTAGGCAGTTGAGCAAATGGGAGAATTGAAGTCCTTCGTGCGAAGAACCCATTGCCGCTTTGAGATTTTGGAAATGTGGCCTCGAGTAATAACGACGAACTAATGAAAGTTTCCTACATTCTGCGGCGATGTTGTTCACATGTAGGGAATCGCGTGAAAGGAATGCTCGATGGGAAGACGTCTCGTTTCTCCCGTCATGTTACAGGATGCAACTTGGTCTGCCCGGAGCAACATGGATCCTCATCCTGGCCGTGGCGGCGATCGCTGCGTCCTCCCCAGCTCGCTCGAGGTACGAAAACATTTCCAACGTATTTCCGGCAGTGCGAACAATGAGATACACTTCTGCCCCACCCTTTAAATTTCGCGGACCCCTCTCACTGTGGGAGAACCAGTAAGCGAAGCTATCTGTGCTACCGTAGCTGTGGCATTGCATGTACGCGTCCGCTTCAGCTACGGAAGGTGCGGGGTTCGATCCCCAGTGCCGGCCGGCCACCCACCCACCGGTAGCTAAACAGGGTACAGGCGGGCTTCGAGGGGTTGTGACGCGTCGCCCCAGTGGTGAAGCTTACTCTGCCTGGATACTCCCAACACGCTGCGTGGGGACCCGGTAGCTATCTGTGCTCCCGGCGTTGATTGACAGCTGACCATGATGTTGACGGCGAGTTTCGTTCAGAGCTTAGTGCAACTAAAGAGTGGTTTGTTGGTGCCAAAGTGAAAGACGAAACAACCTGTTCAATGAATTAACTTTATTTAAAGCCCGGCAGTGTCCTTCGGGCGAGGCGGGGAAAAGAGGGGCTTAACCCCTGTCTCTTCCCACTCTCCTTCGACGATGATGGGAGTGCATCAGGTGACAATATTTGAGAACTCTATTGTCATTAATTTCACAATCGCAGGTTCAGAATTCAGAGAAGTAAAGGCCGAGGTTTCATTGTTGAATGCGGCAGGAGAATTTCAACAGCTAAATGCCAGTGTGACTCATTTCAGCCTCACTCTTATAGTTGTCTCAATAATGTTTTCTTAAGCATGCAGTGTTAATTATCTGGCTCCTTCAGAATGCTATGTAATTAATTTTTACCGACAATGAATTATTTGGGCCGCACCACCCAATTTCGAAATCAAGGTACTCAGAACGACTGCCTATGTAAATGATGTGTTTAGTTAAGACACGTGTTTCGACGCAGGCTTTATCCAGCAATAAATGTTTACCGTATAGCCGACGCAAAAAACAAAAACAAAAACGCACTGGCATTGCTTTTTGTAGACGTGCGCCTATAATGACGGTATTTTTACTACACCCGGAGCATGCACTTGCCCACGCATTCCGCCTTTAACGAAAATTGCGCCCGCGTTACCAACACTGCGCCATCACTCTTCATTATATGTATGTGGTCTTATTTTGTTCACATGCAGTATGCATGCAGCGGCTGGACGCACGTTGCTTTCACTCTCAATGCCCTTCAAATAACTCTGCCAGGACGGTGTGAAAAGAGAAGGCCTTGCGACTGACCTTAACGCAATCAATCTCACTTCACCGTTATAGCACGATGAACGGGCCGCCCGGTTAAATGCATGCTACGCCGCCGGCGCTGTTGCACCATGCACAGCAACTTTACCAAGTGTATACAAGGGGACTCGCAGTGCTAGCTTGGCGACTCGCAGCTCGTCAAGGTAGCGGGTTCGATTCCCGGCCACATCAGTAGCATTGCGAAATGCGAAAGCATCAGTGTACGCATTGGTGTTTCAGTGTACGCACAACAGTAATCACACTGACGTATCTTACACAGGCCAAAGCGGGACGTCTACTACGACTCCTCCCTTGACGCCGGCGAGGAATACCTGCTCGGCCTACTCCGTAACCGCCTCAGGTGAGCTAAGCGAACAGAACGAGACACGCCTTGGTGTCTCTCTTCTCAGCCCCATATAACGCAACACACAGAGGAGGTATGCCACATTTCGGAGTTGAAACGCAAAAGAATGTTCACCCATCCGCAGAGATACTGAAGTACGTCGCAACTCGCTAACCAGACTTTGAGTGCAGCCCTTTGAGGCGCTTCGTACGCAACTACAGGTACGCAACTTGTTTTGCTAGTTGTGTCACCTAGTGGCAGAGAAAGAGCAAGATGCAGTGACCTTAGGTGAATGGCACCTCCCGCGTAATGAACGTGTCCTCACTTCGTTTTGCATTTTACTGTCGAATGTATAGTGCCTTGAGGACAAATATATGCTTCATTGCAATCACCATAGGATACATAAATTGACATATCGTGACTATTTTTGTTTAACCAGAATATAGAGTGCCTTGAATATTGTTCCGTAATTTGTCGCTGTTACACAGTTCTTCCCTAGGTGTAGTGTGTGAAGGGGATAGTAAAACAATGCTTCCGAAATGCACAGTATGCAAGCTTACCGTTTCCGAGCCCGACAGAAGTGGCCTCTGGGTTACATGGTGCTGCATTAGGTATTAACGGTAAACTCGGGCGGTCTATCCGGTGCCCCAAGCTGTATCGCGAGACGTTCCAGCAACAGCCAGATGCGAGTTAGGTAAAGCATGCACCAATCCGAACACCAGGTTAGTTTCCGGAAGATTGAGAGGAACCTCCGCTGATGACCGAATGAATGCCGCCGCCGTCACATCGGATCACGAGGAGAGAGACTGAGCAAAAGTTCAGGGCTGCAGAAGCGACCGATACATCGACTGCGAGACACTTCTACGCCAGCACAGCAAGCCTTCAAAGTCTTGACTCTCAGACGTCAAACCCCAAATTATTATTATTAGCAAACTTTCAATAGCGTAGCCAGGAATCTTTTTTTCGAAGGAGGAACGAGGGGTGGGGGCCAACAATATCTTAAGTACGGTCGCGCGTGCGTTTGTCTGTGCGTGTATATATACGCAAGCAAAACCGAAAGTTTTCTGGTAGCGGGGAGAGGTTATACTACTCCCAAACCCTCCTTTGACTACGCCCCTGTTCAATAGTGTACGGTAAAGACAATGTCACTGCTCGCCTCTTGACACACACACAAAAAGGATTCAGTAGTGAATGCCACCGAAAAATTCAAATGCTGTCGTTAACGTTAGACGCCCAAAGATCGACTGTACAGACGCGAAAACATTTGTAGGGCCGAGTCGAAAGGGGGGAAGGGGCAGTAAGCCCCGCCCCTTCGACTCGGCTCTACAGGTAGTAAAAATTGAGTATAGGAATGGGAGAGAGGGTAAGCTCTCTTCTCTATTTATGACTACACCATTACTGCACGAACTGACGTGTCCGCAAATCAGCCCAATTTCTTGTCCAGTCGAAGGCGTCGACGGAAGCTTTATCAATTTTTTTTTTTCTTGCGGGAAAAGCCAGTTGTCGGCGATATGAGATAGCTACAATCGTCACTGCAGCGTAACGGGCGTTATATCACCCCTTTCTCTTTCTACTATGCAATCACGAAGACTGCCCTAATTTTGCTATTTCATAAGATCACGTATAGTGACAAACCATTGAACGCGCAATCTCAGTCCCCACGTCATGTAAGTAATACACTAATCTTCAAAACCATTTCACGTACTATCCCTGTGTTTAGTTAACCAGCTTTGTCGCAGGCTATTATTCATTGGAATGGTCTTTCGGAACACATCGCTAACATTCGCAATCCGGTTAATTTTAGAACCGACCTAACGGCTGTATTTTCTAATTACTGATGTGTTCTTAAAGGTTGTATAAGGCTGTTCTTACTTTTCGGTGTTCGGAAATAATAATGAATAAGCATTTTATAAATACGTATCATGCACCTGATAGCAGCCCTATACCGATGAACATCCTCTCTCCCAAGCGCACCACAATTATCCGATGTAGGAGCCTGTGAGGCTATTTGAATCAATAAATAAATATTCGACGCACCCTTCTGTTGTTAAACGACCCGAAAAGGATCCACCATAAAGAAGCAAGAGCAACCGTGTCGGATGAGTTCCCTGCTTGATCAAGATGTGCCGGTGCACGCTTCCTTTCTGAATAATAAAACGCAAGAGCACTTCACCTACAACGTCATGCCCTCTGGAACGTAAGCCCACCTAGATGTATGTACAAAGTGTGAGCCTGCCAGTGCTAATGCATAACTTGTAGATCCCGCAGAGAAAAATTAACACCAGAGATTGTACCGGCCAATGGTCGCTTGAGCTAATGTTTTTCGACGCTTCTTGGCTGTGGCCCGCTACTCGCTTACTGCGATAGCGCAATACGCTGCCGTTAGAGTAAACTTTGCTTGGGGCCCTAGCTTGAGCAGTAAAAGCTGGTACGTGCCAGTCATGATAAAGAATCGAAGGGGGTAGAGAAACCTGCCCACGCGTATTTATACCAGACCATATCTGTGACGCTGCCGGACGAAGCAAGCACTCACGCACTGCCAAAAGCGAATTCGCATTCGATACACGCAACCGAATCCGTGAAATCACATGACGGCAACTAGAGCTGTTCGTGTTTGCATGCAATTTTGTCACTATGCAAAAACTTGGTCACATGTAGTACACGCTTACTTATACATGTATCAAAGTGTAAGTTTGCGTCCCCATGTGAATGCCTTTCTGAACTTTATGCTAATTTTCAAAGTAATCTTTATGGTTAATCAACAACGTCAATAAAGGCACATGTCTTGAGCGTGTATACAAACCATACTTCGGTTCAGAAAAACCTTGATTTAGGCGACCATCGGTTTTTCCTCAAGGTGTTTGAAACCGTCCGTAGAGCAGACTAACTGAACAATGTCATATGAACAATGCAATCTCCCCAATAGATAATCACAATTCCCTTTATCAGCTTATTTCATCTAATCCAGGGACCAGGAAACGAATAATCAAGTTAGCAAAGTCATTACCCGTCAGAATATATCGGTCGACGAATACAGAGCGATGTAGAGGGCTGTCTTAACGGACGGATGCCATACTGTGGAAACGCAAGCCTTGTGTGACATCAGATATTTTTAGATTGTCTGCTATCCCGGTATAAGCAAAGGGGTGTACGTAATACCGGGCTACCAGACGATGGTTTTGAGATTTTGTGACGCCTAGCGAAACCACAACTATGGACAAGTTTCATCGTTTTCGTTCATTGTCTTAGCAAAAAAAAAAACAAAAGTTGGAAAAGGAAACTCACTCGGCATTAGGCATGCTGCCGAAAATTTATGCCAGCCGTGAGGAAGACTGTGCTAGGTTTCTGCGATAAAAATTTTGTGTTTTTCTGGTTCATCTCACTCCTCCCCCAGATGAGAACAATTATTCGTACTCTCGCGTTTATAGCTACAGTACATGTACAGCGCTAACTCAATAGATAGTTTTAGTACTGCGGAATGGTGCTACGTACGCATCACGCAAGCGCCTTGCGTTACGTGGCGTCGTTTGCCACTAATCGGCTTTTAGTACGCCGTAGTACCCGCGTACGTAACGAGCGAGAAGCGTGTTGCGCCATCTGGTAGATCAAAATGGAAGCACGTGTTGTTGACAGCCAATATGAGCCAACCAAGTGTTATAGCCAGATTATGGCCATATTTTAAGCCACAGAGCCGGTCGGTGCTTGCCTTCGATGCCGCCATTTTGCAAATCGAAGTCTCGCGCTGTCGCGAACTTGTTCGAGAGCGACGCGATCAGCTCATACGTACGCACGCACGCATCTCATGCGTGCGTACGTAGCGGCTGCGTACGTAACGCGATACGTGCGCGTTGCGGTCTGCGCATGCGCACTACGCAGAACGTGGCGTCCTTACGTACGCAACGCCGCCACGTACGCAGTACTAAGACTCTCTATTAATGCTCACGGGAAAACTAACCCTCTTCGTTCTTTTCCTGCCCCATGGCAACGCAGCCACCCCGCCGTGCTCGAGCAACAGAAGCGGGCCGGCGGCCTCCTGGACTTCGGCGTGTCGCGAGGCGCGTCCGGGGCCGAAGCGGCCAAAGCCCGCCTGGGACTCAAACTTGCCCACGACCCTTACGGACCGGGAAGGCGCTGAAGGAGGTCGGACCCCGCGAGCGCACAGATCGGAAAAGATGAACGCGACAAGGACCACCTCCCAGTTCCGGCGGCGACGTCAATGCGACAACTGATGCCCCGAAATAGATGCTTCGCTACGTAGGCTGAACCGCGCTTCTGTGCAGCTCTTGTCTGTGTGGGCTCACAAATACTCAAAAAAAAAAAGCACCCGAAGACGGCATTATTAGGGGTGCAACGTCACGCCACAACTTATTCGCAAATCTTGTAAAAATTGTACTCACTCGGGTCACTTTCCACACCTGACGCAGAGGCAGCAGCACTGAAGCATCGACCGGAACTATACTTCAAGCGTTCTGCAGGTTTTCCTTTTCACGCGAAGGTAGTGACTTCTAAAAAAAAATGATGTCACGAGATGTTGCTTCTTTTACATATGCCCGGTGGTGCTCGTTTTTAAGTTCCGTTGTACATACGCACGGCAATAAAAACAGGTGGTCTCTTCTCAAACAGTGTAGCATTAGTGACGTTTCTTAACGCTGACCTATTGGGCCACCTTGGATTTGTTTTCTGGGAGCTCAACCTCGCGACACGTACGAGACAAATGCTGTCTAGCACAGGCTAGATTTCCGTCAAAAAAAGTTTTTTCTTTTAAATTTGTGAAGCAAGCTTGCTTTTTTTTTTTTACGCCTCCAGACATTATCCCATTTGTATGAAGTACACGAGAACACGGCGATGCGCGCACTGTATAATTTATTTGTACACAATAAAGAAATCGATCGAGCTTAACCTAAACCGTTTCAACATCTTTGCTCGATTCACGATGAAAACACGGACTGAACATGCAGTCGCGTTCAAATGAAAACTCTCAAGGTAGTCCGGCAGAAAAAGAAAACTAAAAAAAAACGGTGAGAAACAGACGAGGATGAACTTCAAAATCATTCATCAACATATGAAAATAGCAAAACCAGACAAAATTTGCACTCAATGAAACGCCGTATCACGGCACGCAACACAAAACTGACAAGGGCACAAAATAACAGACTGGTGTGCGCTTCAGATATTGCACTTCCGTAATTTGAAGTTCACATAAATGTTTAATGAACGTACAAAAAAATGTAAAAATTAGAACTAGCTTTAGGTACACTTTCAGAAAAAGAAAGAATACACATATTCTTCCTATTCATCACCTGACGCATTCGATACAAAACCCTTTTTTGTTTGTTTTTGCGCTGTGCGCAACAAACAATTACGTGAAACGAAATCGTCATTCGAAGCGCAACCACTTACACGCTGAATAAACACTCTACGCTACATTTACTGTTTTTGCATACCGCCATGTAACAGATCGAAGCTTACGCTTCCTATAAACCAGACGCCACGTCCTCTACACTGCTTGAACAAGTGAACTCGTCAGCCCTATCTATATTAACGACTATACAAACATACAGAACGGCCCACAGAACTCACAGTCTCACACACACGATGAAACGTTGTTATTGCGTGTATGTACAATTATGTACACCAGAGGTAAAAAAGTAAAAAAAAGAACACAATTGAATGCTATATTACAAGAACAGGATGCTATAACGCAGCAACTACAAAAAGAAAATTATAAGCTCATTCCAAAAAAGAAAAACAATACGAAGTGCAAAGATATGCGCACAAAAGAAAACTACCGCGTAAATTCACTATAGCCAAACCCTGAGAACACTCGTCCCTCCGGCGTTGCTGCGTTCCAAGATGAGTCGACGATTCATTCAACACCTCGTTGTACTTGATTCAGTGTAGGTTGAGCAATGCTACCATGGAACTTTCTTCATCGTCATTACTCCAAAAAATAATAAAATGAGGAATGGGGTCCAGGAAGTTATGCACGTGGATCAGATGGCTTAGCGCTTGTGCACACCAATATCTGGGGACAGCACTGCCACTAGGCGACGGAAAATGTGCGATTCCATCGTTCAGGAGCGCTATGCCAAGTCAATCATGAAATATCCAGCTGTGTCACAGCAAGCCGAGGTCACCGTCCAAGCCCTCCAGCACATCGTCAGCGGAGAGATCCAGTTCGTCCGACACCGTCATGTCTCTGGCGATAAAATCATCCAGTCTCCGGACGACGTTGCCGACTTCTAACTCCATGTCAGGAGTACTGGAACGAAAAGCAAATGAACGATTACCGGGAGCCCGACAATTTTTAATGCGATTGTATTTCTTAGCCATGTTATGTCAGGCATCCGGCGTTGTCCGCGGCGTCCCCAGCGGTGTCCACGCGCCGGCAGGTGTTAACTCTCCGCTGTCACTCCCTCTCTCACAGCAACAGCTGCGGGATCGCACGCTTATCCTCGCCCCTAGCGAACGGATCATGTGGTGCGAGAGAGCGCAGGAGGAGGTAGGTGCAGTGCTTCGCCACTCCTTCTCTCACCGTTTGCTCTCTCTCCTCCCTACGCCCCCCTTTCCCGCCCGCTCACGCCTCAATCTCGTACGTTCGCTCTCTGGGCGCCTCCCAAAAACATCCGGAAATGTGTCCTCAATCCTCCGCTGTGAAACGCAAACGCCGAGCCGAGAACGTTGTTTGTTTTGTTCACTTCATAGTATTTTTTTAACCGTGCACGGTAGCTACTAGAGCTGAAAACGCGACAGAAACACGCCACGTGCGGCGAACGGCGCCATTGGCTACACGGTGTAAGAAAACAAAACACTATTCTAACTGTGCACACTACAGCAGAAGACAAAACGCCAGTGGCCGTAGCTGGGTTCTCACGTGCAAAACGCCGTTATGGACGCTCCGCAATGCAGTCGCATTTCCTCACGATTACCTTCCGAGAGGTGAAACATCCACTGTAAAGCGGCCCTGCGTCATTTTTTTACGATGGTCAGAAACGCTGGCTATCGGTAGTCGATTCTCTTGAGAGCCATGCAAGCCAAAATTTATAGTCTTTAACACGTGATCTGGGGCTTTTAATTAAATTTCAAGATCAACAACCTTCTAAACGTGGTAACGGATATATGTCATTTTGTGCACCTGTATAGTAAGAATTACATTATTGAGTGCATGAATTATAAACTTGATAACCCTTAATAGCGGTTCACAAAATCAAATTGATCAGTTACCGCGCTTCGAGTGTAAAGATCGCTTACTTTTCGCTCGACAAATGACGCCCTAAACCAATAGGACCGCGTCGCAATGTCCACGGCCGTTGAGTGATTTGAGCATCGTGAGCTGCAATGCTACCACGGCCACCGCGGGATGCCGCCACATGACAGCACTGCACTCTACAGTGCTGGAATTACACACATTCAATAATTACACGACCACAATTACGATCGCACTGTAAGCAAGCAGCGCATCCAAAGAAAAAAAAATTAGGTGCTCGAGCTCATCGGAGACCATTACATACCTAGGACGCAAGAAAACTCGTGAGAGAACATAACACAAGCGAACAACGACGGCAGAAAAAACTCCCAAGCATTTTCCCGAGGGTGAACACGGTTAAGTGCAACATTGATGATTTGATATGTGGGGTTTAACGTCTCAAAACCACCATATGATTATGAGAGACGCCGTAGTGGCGGGTTCCGGAAATTTCGACCACCTGGGGTTCTTTAACGTGCACCCAAATCTGAGCACACGGGCCTACACCATTTCGCCTCCATCGGAAATGCAGCCGCCGCAGCCGAGATTCGAACCCGCGACCTGCGAGTCAGCAGCCGAGTACCTTAGCCACTACACCACCGCGGCGGGGCACGGTTAAGTGCGAATGCACGGGTGATGCTATGAGGGGGAGTAAAGTTAAAATCCGTTGGCATTCGCCAGTGAGTTAACGTAAACTCCCCCGTGTGATCACATTGCAATTCCCAGGAACCATTAGACCCTCTCGGGAAATATTGGTGAGTTTACGCGTATATGTGAGAGTAAATTCGCACTATAATGATGTTAATGTACGCGGCCCGCTTCGCCCGCTTGCGCTCGGCATCACGGGCCCTTCGCCGCGCTGCCTTGTCTTCAAGCGGCGCGACATCTTCAACGACGCGTGCAATGCTCGCATTCGATTGCGTTGAACTCGTTGTTGGAGGTATCGCAGTCGAGGTTGATGCCTGCGATGGATCCATACCTATGACGACTTGCCGATCTCGAGCAAGTCGTGGCTGCACGGAGGGCGGAGCGCGCTCAATCACGTGGTGTGTGACGTCGCTGCGCCGCTGCTACAGACGCTCCTCTCCGCTCCTCGCGCCGTTGCTAGGGGAGAGGAGGAGGCGCACCACGAACGGCGGATTCAGGGTCGCTTATAAAGTGCATTCGCATTTAAAATTAAAGTTGTTAACATCCAAAACGATTCTGCTGTTACTAATGCCGTCACATAAATGCATTAGCGAGCCCCCTCATAACATATCGCGGGGTCCACAGTCACATCTTGTTTAACGCTTGAGACAATGGTGGCGAATACGAGACGCTTTTAGAAGATACTAGACAACCTAACAAATGCACAAATATAGCTATACTCGGCGACAACTTTTCTTGGCACCGAAGGGAAAGCTACGGGGGTGGAGCTTCTGCACATGTAGCACGATACGCGAAGTAGTCCGTTTTGGCGCCCGTCTCGTAACGCTGTGGAAAGTGACAGGGGCGCACCATCAGCGTTTCATGTAGACGCAGACGCCGCTTAGCGTTTGAGGTGAACGTAAAAAGGCGGTACTTTCTCACGCGTTCAAAAACGCGAAGTCACAACAAAAAAATTAAATGAATTACGAATACCTTAATGTTGTGAGCCGCGTTTTATCTCAAATAGCACCACGTATAAAATAACAGAACAACTTTTACAATTCCCGTTGAAAATATGTGCGCTATTGTGAACTACATTCATTGGCGGCAGGATTCACGAAATTTGGATCTTTAGCCATCGCTCCAATGCCAAGAAAAGCTGTCGCCGAGTATAGCTGTGTAGGCATTGCCAACCGTGCGTCACCACTCTCTGAAGTGAAAGATTTGTCGTGGATGACGAACCGCGAGAAAAAAAAAAAAAGCAGCACATTTGAATACTGCAGTAAACAACACAGTTTGAATACTGCTGTATAAAAGACAGATTATATAAACCTCCTTCTGCAAACACGTAAATGCGCCACAACAAGCGTGCACTATAAAGGAAAAAAACAAGACCGTATGCCCAAGTGATCATTTAAATAAAACAAAAAATGAACACAGAAGGTTAATGAAAATGAAAAGAACTAGCGTGCCGCCAATGGACACCACGCGACAAACCCTAAATTAATAACAATAACAGCAGCGCCCGGTGACTTCCCCATCACGGAACACGATTTCGCCGGCTCAGCCCCTAAAACAACACAAGAGGAACAAATATTTTCGGTACATTTACGGCAAGGTCAATGCAAGGTATACGTTGACTTACCTCGAACTGACAGCGGTCTCCTGTTCCAAGACGGTACGCTTCACAACTGCGCAAAGCGAAATGAAAATATATGCTTCACAACAGTACGATCGATAAATTAGAAACAAATGAACTTGTTTTTATTTCTTAGGCAATAGAAAGCTTGCCGACGCTCATGTAAAACATCTTTGCATGCAACCACTGGTACTCACTCTACAGTCCGTTATTCAAGAACTATACAATACAGATGGGCGAGCGAAAAGTTTTCCACTATAGGCAGGGGGAGGTTGTCTTAGCACAGCCCCCCCCCCCCCCCTAGGGTTGGTTGAGTTCAAAAAAAAAAAGTTTCACATTAGATGGAAAAGTGAATATGAAACGATGCGACGAAATGTCATTACATATAGAGGCTCGTCTATGGAGCCCTTTACGCTACAATTTCCCGGCTTAACTAGAGTTTCGAGCTCTGTGAATATGTTTAGTCGACGCTGTGTTTAGTTAAAGGAGGCGTTCATTTATTGCAAGCCACAATGTAACACTGAGAGATACAATTGTATATACGGCTACTGACTGACCAGCGATTAGTAACAAGGCGAGCCGAACTTTACTAGTCGTCCTAAGCTTCTTTCCATTAAAAAAAAAATGGCCCAAATCTACATGTTACACTGTAAATGTCGTCGAAAGACGATAGTCTTGCGTCTGGAGAGAGTGAACAAAACACTTATTTGATCTTCTGCGCAAGGAAATCGGTGAATGGTATTCTGCAGGCGCTGCGTTAGAGTGCCTCGAGCGTGTGGCGGAGGCGAACGAGCGCATCTAGGCACGTTAGACACAAGTGCCATCTGGCAGTTATCTTCGAAAAACGAAGGCGTGCAGCGCGCGGAGAAAGATGCGCGCCAGTCTCGGAGGTGATAAGGAGTAGAACGCAAAGCGACGGGCAGGTCCCACCACCGTGACGTCGTAGCAAAGCGTTGGAAACACCTTATTGAGCATCGCTTTGCACTGTAAGCGCAGTGCGATTAAACACTACATTCCTTAGAGTTACTTGTGTGTGCCTCTTCTAGTATAAAGGCAGACATACAAAACATGGAAGCGTTGTTGTGGCACCTCAGATACGCGCAATAATTGCTTTTTAATTGACAATCGGCACAACCATGAACGCTAAACCTTGAGCAATATTGGTGGGCGCTGCGGATGGGGTTGGACGTTTGATGCCGTTCGAGGCGTCGTTAGAGCGGACAAACAGACAAATGTACAGACAGACAGACAGACAGACAGCCAGCCAGACAGACAGACAGACAGACAGACAGACAGACAGACAGACAGACGGACCAAATTTTTTCCGTCGAAGGTCCCCAAGAAAGACTATCGTCTTTAAAAAAAGAAGAAAAGTTGCCGCTTCCGACACAGTATACACTTGGCGTGCGGCGCCAGGTGCTTCAAGCGCGGACCCGTACCTGATAGTGCTGGCCTGCGTGGTCCCGTGGTGTGCTTGCTGATGACTATCGTGCGCCTCGTTTCCTTGAAATCTGGACGCTTCGCGCGTGTGGGAGCCCCTGAATATACAGACACACGGAGACACGGTTATGCAAACGAAAATCTACACGTATACGCACGTGATTTGCGAACGACGACGAAACGGCTAAATGGCCCTATAAGATCGATACACGAGTGCCACATGTGCCCTGGAGCTGTCGTATCTTTCTCGCGTTGCGTCATCGCACGTGGCAAATCACCAGCTGGCTCGCACGTTCACAGCGACTCCATAAAGTTCGGGCGAAGCAAAATTTTAGTCAGTGAACGTGTCCATGCTCTATTATATGCATTGCACGCATTTTAGATGGATGCGATATGCTAGAGGCTCGCTCATGTGGTGTAAGCGCTGTCGGTGCACGTTAAAGAACACCAGATTGATTGATTGATTGATTGATTGATTGATATGTGGGGTTTAACAACCCAAAATCACCATTTGATTATGAGAGACGCAGTAGTAGAGGGCTCCGGAAATTTCGACCCCCTATAGGGTTCTTTAACGTGCACCCAAATCTGAGCACACGGGCCTGCAGCATTTCCGCCTTCATCGGAAATGCAGCCGCCGAAGCCGGAATTCAATCCCGCGACCTGCGGGTCAGCATGCCGAGTACCTTAGCCACTAGACCACCGCGGCGGGGCTAAGAACACCAGATGTCCAAAATTTCTGGAGCGCTTCACTATACGGCGCCCCTGATAATCACATTGTGGTTTTAAGGCGTAAAACCCCAAATATATTGTTATTAGTGTACGAGGAACCGATATTAGAGGTTTTTAGTTTGACGTTTTTACACTCCGCTCAGCAGCTAAGCGGAGCGGGAACGCGAGTGCGCATGCGCCCTCCGCTAAGGCCTTAAGCGGGTTACCGGAGCGGGGAATACGGTCCGCTTACGAGCAGCCTAAGCGGAGCGCGGTGCGTCGCTGCCGTTTTTGCAAGCGGAAGGGCGACAACCCGCGCGCCCTCTCTCGTGCGTGCGGCAACTTTGCTCATTTCAAGATGGCTTCCTCCGGAGATGGCACGCTTTCCGCGAGTGCTGCAGCTTCACCGTCACCTGCCCAGTACAAGCCGCGAAAACACAGTTTCAACGGTGAAAAATAAAAACGCCGCCACCACACACGCGTAAAAAGCGCAAACAACACACAGTGAATGCTTGCAATGGATCTGGAACGGAACCTTGCTGGCTTTTGAGCGGCTACTATCAAGTCAGAGCTTGCTTCTTTGTCAAAAAAAAAAAAATAGGCGGTTAATACATTGAAAGTGGATATCTAAATACTTCATGAAAAGATCATTTATACGTTATTGTTTTGCTTTGTATACGCGAAAAAAATGTTTTTTATTTTGTTTACCGACGATGAAAACGACCAGAGGGCGCTGCAACTGCGAAAGGTCCGCTTCGCTGCCGGCAACGAATAACTAAAAGAGGAAAATCGGCCGCCGCTCCGCTGCGGCTTCGCGGGTGCTCCCGGAGCGGGGCGGACCACAAAAACGTCAAACTAAAAACCTCTATTAACAACATTCGCGTACAAAGTTTCACGCGTCAAACATAGAAGAAAGCGCGCGTGAGAGAGAACGGTTTTCATACCTATAATAATAATGATACGTACTGGGGTTTCGCACTCAAAAACGGCGATGATTATGGGGGACGCCGTTGTGGAGGGCCACGGAAATTTCGACCCCACGGTATTCCTAAACGTTCGCCTAAATATGAGTACACGGGCCAAAAGCATGTTCGCGTCGTCAACCGAAATGAGGCCGTCGCGGCCGTGATTAGATCCCCACACGTTCTAGTGTGCAGTCGAGCACCTCACAAAACCAACGTGGCACCGTGGCGGGTATGGTATTTGGAACGTATCCTCCACTGCCCCGCCGCGGTGGTCCAGTGGCTGAGGTACTCGGCTGCTGACCCGCAGGTCGCGGGTTCGAATCCCGGCTGCGGCGGCTGCATTTCTGATGGAGGCGGAAATTTTGTAGGCCCGTGTGCTCAGATTTGGGTGCACGTTAAAGAACCCCAGGTGGTCTAAATTTCCGGAGCCCTCCACTATACGGCGTCTCTCATAATCATGTGGTGGTTTTTGGGACGTTAAACCCCACATATCTATATCAAACGTATCCTCCACTAACCGAATGAAGGTGTGCGCATCATCTCTCGGCGTTGGCTATCGACAAAGAAAAAAAAAAAAAGCTCGGCACGGCTACGTAAATACCACTTCTTGATACCGACTCGAATAGTTGCAGAAGCAAATTGAATCGTATCAAACATTCAACAAATGTTCGAATAGTCATTGCATATTTAGAGGAGCTGCTTTAGCGATGATTGTAAGAAGTGATTCAGATTCTAGCACTCACGATCTTAGCACTGAACACGTTAATGTTGCATCACAAACAAATCCCTCGCATGCACAAAACTCTCCAGGATGCGCGCAGGATCGAATGAGTAAGACGTAGTTTGGCCTATACCGAAGAAGCTCGTCGCATTGTGTAAGCTCTCATGTTTCACGGTTATTTGTACAATGCTATAGCAGCAATGAAAGGTGTCGAGCTACCGCACAAATTACGTGCTTATATGTGGGCGAAATCGAAACTGAAATGTTCGTAAACGATTACAAAAAATGTTCGCATCTGCGAATAGCGGCTATGAGATTCAAAGACCTAATCAATGAGGTCCGTCGACTCAAAGAACTAATCGAATAAGATTCAATTCTAAATTCAAAACTTACGAATATTTGCACATCTCTAAAGGTTAGGCAGTCACTACTGTTGATGCCTTACCAAGCTCCTCGATATGAATCGCTTGCGCTGACGTAATTACGAGCGCCATCTTGTAGTGGTAGCACGTCGAGCAGCTGTGTAGGGAACGTGAGAACCCGACAGGCACGTCTTGCATTGAGCCCACTCGAAAAGAATTGCAACTAATATACAGCACTGAGAAAATGCAAACGAGAAGCGATGTAAAGCGGTGCACACGCGTTTATATTGCGCGCCTCACGACACGCCATGCACCATCCTATTTTACTGCTATACAGCACGATGAGCAGTTGTGAGCACGGCATTGACGATCGGTTAGGCCAAAGTAGTATTGTTATTAAACTGGCCCATAAGTAAAAGAAATATAAAAAAGCGGCAAAGCATACTACAAAGCATAAAAGTACGACAAAGCGTACTATGAAGTAGACTGCACGTTTCCCTTTTTTGTTTAACAAGTATAAATATTCAAACTAACCTGCAGTCAGGTCGCCATGTTTCAATATTTTTCCTTTCCCGCTGTCGACGTCATCCGCCGAAGCTATATATGAGCAAAAGAGAAAGACGTGAATTCAAATTTCCTTCCACGGAGCTCATTTGTGATGTATACACTGATATCTTCGCAATGGCTGATGAGACAGCGCAGAGGAAAGTGTCTATCGCGACTAAGTGCTGATTGACTCACAATTTTCGGGTTTTCTCTTTCTGCCGAGCTTCTGACGCAGGTCCACGACTTCGTCTGGAACTGAAGGGAATGAAAAAAAAAATCAACATGCCGTCGTCGGGTTTTTAGATCCGACAAGAGGCGCAACGTCCGTACACCCTTTTCCTTAACCCGGCAAATTCTTGGACTAACGCGGCACCATGCGAGATGGCCATGTTGGCATTGCCGCATTGCTCTCTTGTAGCCCAACGCTGCTCGTGAAGTTGCCTTCATTTCAGTGTCGTGACCATTGAAAGGACACTAAAAAGAAAAACGGGTTTTTTTTCTCACATTACTCACTAAGCGACCCTTTCACAACTGCTAAAAGTCCCCACGCTTGCCATGATTAGACGCTGGGTAAGAGGGAAAACGCGCGCAAAAGAAGAAGATGATGATGAAGAAGAAAGCGGGTACCGATGCCACCTTGAAATCCCCCCCCCCCCCCCCCCCAAGTGCCGTGATATCCCAGATATGGCGACGTCTACTAACTGGTTCCTGCGAAGCTTATAATTGGTAAAAATGACGTAAATTGACTTCTGAGACAATCTGCGTATACTTTTCATACAAAGTTTCAGGAAGTTTCGTAAAGCGAAGTCGCCATAATACCAAAAACAAAAAATGCCCTTTGAAATCCGTGACGTCGCGCGAAAAGATCTCGGCGCTAAATTTAAAAAATTATCCTGATTTTTCTCCTCTGTTAATGAACATACGCGGTGAACTGAAATTAGAGTTTTCAAAGCACAACTTAGAAATCTATACCGATTCTTTGTTCAACTTTCAAGTCTCTTGAAAATTACTTGAACGCAAAGCTGGTGCCCCACATTTATCGTGAGGCCCACCACGTATAGTACGTTTTTATTATTATTTTTTAAAATTTAGTAATACGATCGATCCCGTCAGAGATCTCGCAGGAGTGGATATAAAGAGAATAGAAATACCGTGGTACACATTCACAATATTGTACACCAGCTATATTGGTTAAAAAATAGCGAGAGATGATAATCATTATAGAGCTATGCCGTCAAAGAGCGAGAAAAATGTATACAACGCAAGAACATTTTACAATGAAACGCTATACAAAAGAACATAACAGAAAAGAAACAGAAAACCAGGCACATGACAAAGTGACAATTCTGTCAGCGCTACATAAATCCATTCAGGCAACCGGAAGGATACGCTGCTAGTGGCACTGCCAGATATATCCAATCCTTTCTCCCCCTTCCTCATTCTTGTTAATTTGTTTTATATATTCTGGTTTATCGCATTCTTCTGAAGTTTTTCACGTTTTTTCAAAGGAACATTATTATTGTTCCTATCTAATTTCTCTTTTTTTTTTAGCAAGCGTTGTATCAAATGATCTATTATGAGGTACAGTGTGGCCAATCCCCCATGTGGGTATGATCCAAGATCTCCTAGGAGACAAGACAAGACAAGACAACAACAGAGACGGTGAACTTAATCGGTAAAACTGCACACAACACGTGAGCTGTAGCCTCGGTTAGAGACCTTGTGCTCCATCCTACTCACCGTTTAACTCCTTCTGCGTCTCCGGCAAAACAGCAGTGTAGACTTCAGCCACACCCAGGATGCGCTTGAGCAGCCTTTCCTCTTGTAATCGCTCGGAATCAATGGCGACCGGTACGTCCAGCTCTGAAATCGGTAGCGGCGCCGTATACGACGCAAATACCTAAGCTCCAAAGTTAGCGTATACGACGCGAAGATTGCCCTCCGGCGCCTTGAAACTAACAAAAGCGTGATCCAGTAATGTTACAACATCTGGTAAAAATTAGCTCGTTCAAAGTGAGGTTGGGAGATGAAGAGGACGATAGTTAAAGCGCGAGAACAAAACGACGACAGAGACAAGATATCCTAGGAGACAAGACAAGACAAGAAGGACGTCGCTCTGTTCTCGCGCTATAACTATTGTCATGGCCGATGCCCCTTTGTGGGCGAGTGCCATCAAAACTGAAGGATCACCATCATCATCATCATACCAACTAGCCCAAACTGCCACTCTTCTATGGGAGATGAGATGAGGTTTGTTGAGATAAAGAGGCCGCTGTAAGTACAGAGCCGAGTTAATTCGTTAAACACGATATAGGCCTTTGCCCTACGCCACGGACATAGTTGGGATAATGATAACGATGGTGATGCACGCGCTTTCTGCGAATAAAATTCACCTTCCGTGCTTGTGACAACCGTGGAGTGGGCAATGGCCTTTTCTTGTCGAATCTCGGCGAGCGTCTTGACTTGAAACGGCAGCGGGTCTTCACAATCTGAAACGACGAGAAAAAATGTCGTCAGTGTCGTGGCGACGCAGATCGAAATAATTTCCTTAGAACGGTAATTGCCCACGACCAAGTTTCACAGTCAAGCCATCCTGGTGGAGAATTCATTGCCACTCGATCAAATCTTCGTCTGACCAGCGCGCATAAACGACGCAAGAGTTTCAACTTGAGCGCGTATTTAGTCGTACAAAGGTATTTGATGTGCCGGTGAGTGCCATTAAGTATATTTATTGGATATAACTGAGATCATAAACATGACTGATGGTCAGGAAAATGTTTTGGATTGGTATGTTCCCTCTTGCATTTCTCTCGCGCATAAAGCACCTGTAAATAAGAAGTCGCTAAGTGCACGAAAGCTCATTTTCCTCCTCACCCAACCGAGGTTGGGGAGAATTAGATAGGCGTACGTGAAACGTCACTAAGGAAGTCCGACGCTGCCTCGACCAAGACACGTCCCCAATCAAAACATCGACTCCAGCGACAGTTCTTCTTGGACTTCTCATCACTGCATGCCTCCATCTTCTCCTGAACTATAGATAAGATCTTCAGAAGTGAGGAGACACGTCTTGTATTTAGGTGCGTACCACTTCAGGAACCCTGCTTGTTGTCCAAACATCAATTTTATGCGGGCGTAGTCACGCTCACAATCAAGCGCTCAAGACATACAGGCTTAAACCACGCCTAGTAATGCTCGAATGCGGGCTAAAATGAACGAAGAAAGTCTAAAATAAAGTAACTACCCACAATAAACAACATGCATTCAAGGTAATTGACTTAAGATCACTGAACGGGCTTCGGACAGACGCCGTTGATTCTTGCACCTAGCAGGAGAGGGCGCCATTATCTCGCGGGAGGGAGCACGATTGCCCCCCCCCCCCCCCATTCGTACTTCGCCGGCACTTGGTTGCTACATATCTGTGGGGAAACAACCAGAGAAATGTCGCTCACGGGGAGTTTCAAACCTTCTTAATTTAAAATTCAAACCTTCTTAATTTAAAAATAATAAAATAACCTTGCGTGTTATTGGTTATCGGACCCCATGGTCCCGTACGGGGAGATGGTGTAATTTTTAGTTAACGCGGACGCTGCGAATTTGAATTTTTTCTGTTCAACAACGTACAAGAGAAATCTCTCACCGGCACTATACTTTGGGGGTCAAGATCCAGGGGTGGCCAGCGAAAGGACGTGCAGTGCAAGCAGTCGCTTTTTTTTTAGATGCGGAGCATCTAATACTCGAGGCTTGTAGTGCGGCGCCGTCCGCAAGCTTCCTCCTCCTTCCACCATCTGTGCATCCCTTCCTCCTCTACACACCGCCCGCGCTTCACTCCTCCACCATCTGTGCACCCTTCCTCCTCTACACACCGCGTGCGCTTCTCCTCTTCACGAACATTCGCTAGCTGTATAATGTAGCGCGCATGCGCCGTCACGCTTCGAGAACATCGGCAGCTGACGCGCGCGCATGCACCGTCGCGCTTCGAGAACATCGGCAGCTGACGCGCGCGCATGCGCCGTTGCGCTTCTCCCCCTTCTCGAACATTCGACAGCTGACAGTGCATGCGCCGTCGCGCTGTATATATACTCAAGGTCGGTGCTCGCTCACTCAGTTGCCGCTCGTCGGTTGGTTTGTACGGCGCGTCGACGTCCGAGGTCGCAATGATCGACGTCCCTTCGACCAGCGCCGGCCAAAGTGTTGGCGGAACCGCAACCAAGTCGTCGTCCGAAGACAAGGCAGCGCGGAGAAGAGCTCGCGACGCCGAACGTAAACGTCGGCGTCGAGCGGAAGATGCTCAACTTAGAGAACGTGAAGCCGCTGAGAGACGTCAGCGTCGAGCAGCAGCACCGGATTCGGCCGCTTTGAAACGTAAGCGTCGACAAGAGGACCCGGACTTTCGAAAACGGGATACGTGTCGTACGTGTTCACTCATTTAACACCCCTCCTACAACCACGTTAACCAATTTAGCCAGCGACCCAAGTAAGTCGCAATTTAACACCCCATTTCACAACCACGTTAACCAATTTAGCCATCGACCCAAGTAAGTCGCACTTTAACACCCCGTTAACCAATTATATGCTCCGCATCATCCTCAGTGTTCCCCCGAGGGAAGCTGCGGCCAATTTTTTTCATTTTAGAAACTCGACGCTGCCTGCGTAGGCTTAGCTAGAGCCCGCGGGTAGAAATGCCTGAGGAGAGGGGGAAGCGAGCGTCGGTTAGCAGACACACTTGAGAAGTGTAGAGAAACGAAAACGCCAGAGCGGCCGGAATAGCACGGCCGCGCGCGTCGAAGGTGTTCACATTCGTTCTGCCCTATCCCGCCGCCGCTGCCGTCGATACCCTGACAATGAATTCGATTTCGCCAGCTTTATAAGAACTAAAGTTCATACCGAATTTTAGTTATCCACGCAAAGTAGTGAAAAGACAGATCTCGCGCCTTTTCAAACGTTGTTTCGGGAGATAAGCCCGCAGAAACGACACGAGCGAACATACCGGCAGCTGCGGCGGCTCATTCAGTTAGCTGTACACAAACGCGAGACACGTTGGGGCATGCTGATTCGCTGCCGCTGCAACTTCTATTTCCAGAGTTCCCGGCGATCGTAATCCAAGTCAGGCTCTCGATGAACGCGTCCTCGTTGAGGCCATCAAGCTTCGTACGGGTAGTTTTGCGATTTGAGCCGATGCGAGCCACCGCCGAAGCCTGTGTCGCCATGTTTAACCTGCGGCCAGCTGGTTAGGTCACGTGGTTTGATCTAGCGCAGCCAAGGCGGTGAAGCGGAAACCGGATCCGGTTTCGCGTGGCGGAAAAATCGGTGTCGGGGCGATTCTTGCGCACTGGCCACGCGGCGTGGTTTTCCGGCCACATTGGCGGCGAAACGAGACAGTTTCCGGAGAATTTCGCCGGTTTCGCTCTCTTCGAGGCCAAGTGTGAACGCGCCATTCCTGCGTCGGCGTTGCGAGGCGGGAGAGGGAGGCGTAGGAGAGGAGAGGGAGGCGCGCATGCGCAATGGGAGAGCGAGCGCAAGCAGGTGTAGAAGAGAGGCGGAGAGAGTAACGAGCAGCTGTTGGAGAGAGTGAAGGAGGAGAGTCTCGCACGCGCAGTGTGGGTGCGGACGCCGGTTGACGCGTGACATACCCGCAAAATAGAGATGCTCCGCCCCTAAAGCTGGTGCGCATGTTTCACAGTGAGTCTGCGAATCTCTCAAACTTTAAGATTCTGCTCATGCCGCGGAAACCCTACACGCTTACTTCAAATATTACCGTGATCGACGGTTTAGTAAACGTACCAGGGGGGAACTCCTTTTACGGACGGGAATCGCAGCGTGACTGCGCTACGTAATTCCCCAAGTTTCACAATGATGAAGCTGCACGACTTGTTTTTTTTTTTCTATACTGTAGGAGTCAACTACGCTAAACTGCTGTTTATAGTAAGAGCCTCCTGTATTTCCGCTGCAGGGACAAAACACGGTTTCTCACCACGGTTTCTCAAAGTGAATTCAGACCACGGTTTCTCAAAGTGAATTCAGACCACGGTTTCTCAAAGTGAATTCAGACCACGGTTTCTCAAAGTGAATTCAGTAGGCCTCCTCCCCCCCCCCTCCCGTATTTACGCGAGCTGCTGATACACTTTCCCTGGTTCCGCACTCGCCAAGTCACTTAGATGGCGATCCCGAGGTGTGATCGATATAAGCAACCTCTATTGCTCACACGCGAGTGCCAATAAGCACATGTGTCAATAAGCACATCAATAAACACGCGCGAGCTAAGCAATAATTCTCACCAGCAGTTTGTTCGCGAGCTAGACGCAGAAAACGGGCCGTGCGGTTGTGCTATTGCACTTGAATTTCGGAGGAGCAATTCTCCTGTTTGAAGATAAGTTTCGAAGATGAGGCAATGGACAGACTGTAGCCGTTTGCAACAAAATATGATTGTGACTAGGATATATATGAATAGTGTACAGTGCAATCGTATCTCAAAATAAACATATTATAAACGTCATTTTGTGCCGACCTCACTCACATATGAACTTAAATACATTGTTGAATTGGTACCCCTGGAAGATGCGCAGTTTTCATGCGTTTGGGGCCACCCAGGAGCACAATGACGAGCATTCTCGACACTATGATGATGATTGATTGATTTGTGGGGTTTAACGTCCCAAAACCACCATATGATTATGAGAGACGCCGTAGTGGAGGGCTCCGGAAATTTCGACCACCTGGGGTTCTTTAGACACTATGTACAGTCTATCAAAAAAATAAGCAAAACACTCGGCTGAATCCAGCAGCCAAATGCGGCTGGCACTGGGTGTTACTGAACCTGGCATAAATTTGTTGGAGCAAGAAAAGCATGGGAATAAATTCTTTATATACCCTTGCTTCTAAATATATTGTGCGTCAAGGCAGCGTGACCCAAACGAAAATTGTTTGCATAAAAGCGGAAAGGGGGATTCCTTGGCACTCAGTGGAGCCTCGCAAGGTTCCCCGGGACCAACATGTTTGAAAACACCTGAAACAGATCATTTTCATAATCAACCCGCGTGCTTTTCCGCGCTTCATATTGGCAAACAGATGGCGGCAACTGACGTGCTTCAAGTAGAGGCGAGGTCTTGTAGTTGCACGTGTCAGAGATTGTCCTAGTCTTATCTCAAAGGTATGACCACTGAATAAAAATAAAAACAAACGTCTACCATCACTGATTATTTCTACGCACAATGTCACAGTGGAATCGGCTTCCACAAAAAAAAAATTGTAGACTGTCGCATTGAAACATAGTTAGGAGATATACTGTTACACTATTACCTATAGTATACATCTCTCTTTTTTTTTGTTAATCTTGTTTTCGTAGTCATCCTTTCTATGAAGAATGTTGCCCAGTGTATTCCTCAGCAATAATGCATTCGGGCGCTGCAGGTACTTTGAACGAATGACTAAAATAAATAAATGCGTGATTATAATGAGAGCTGAGCAAACATGACTAAGCATTTTCCGCAACATGCCGTTCGCAGAAGTGACTGACTGCAATTGGTTGGGCTAACTGCATCGCAGGAAGGCTAGCGTTACAATTATGAAAGAGGTCGAATTGAGGGCGGGTTGCCCCCCCCCCCCCCCCGGATGGCAACAATAGCTCCGGCAAGTTCCCGTAGAGTGCGAATTGTGGCTGCCCCATACACGATCGACTTAACTACAATCGCAATGTTAAAACCGACAGTAAAATTCCGGTGAATGCATGTGCTATAGTTACAGTAGCCACAACAAGAATTTTATTCGCAGACGATGCCTGGAAGAGAGGCATGCGATGTGCTTGATGCTTACCTCTGCACGGACTTCGGTCTCCTGTTTGTCCGCAGAGTGGCGAAGGCGAAGCGCGGCTTTTTTGCGGCGTCCCAAAGGTGCTGTCGTTGTCAGACTCTGAAAGAGACATGTCGAAAGAATGCCGAGGATGCCTTTCTAACTCGTCTGGCTTCACTTTCCTCGATGGGGGATTCATGAGCAGCCATCCAACTCCGGGCGCAAATAATTATCCCTTTTCCCGCTTTCCCTATTTCTCTGAGGCGCCAGGAGAGGCACATCTCTGACGAACAAATAATAACGCGTTAAAGAACAGTTTATCCAAGGTTTTATCACCACCTTGTTTTGAAGGAAAACTAATTGTGTTGTCATTCCACAGAACAGTAGTACCTTCAAGCTACGAAATAATGGCTGAACAGACAGTGTTGCTGAAACCAACGTTTGCAGGAGTGTTGCTGGAACCTGCCTTGTTTGGGTACCGTCAAGAACACGAATCGACAGACTGTCACCATTCAAATATCGGAAAATATGGCACGTATGACAAATCATACATGCTTCGAACTTTGTATAGTTCGATCGAACGTTCTTCTGCCCCTTTCGCACCGGCTGGTCAAGGTCATTGCGACGCGCGGAATGACCCCGCGTGCGAGACGCTAAGGTTTTCGTTCAAAAAATGATGCTCGTGGAAAGAGAAAACACACTCTGCTGAATTCACTCATGCAGGACGATGTTGTTTTTTATTTTCTGTGTCGTTTCCTCCATTGTCAAGTGAAGGCACGTCTGTTTACGCATAGTTTTTTCTTGCCTAATACGGACCTTGATGGCGATTCCCGGCTTTAACTCTTCAGAGAGACATATTCCTTACCTCGGTCACCCTTCTAACGTCGTTGGCAAGCGCAAGCGGAATTCACGTTCAATCGAAGCAGCACTGGTGTAGTGTGAGCGCCCGCTAACCACTAGCGCCATGCACCATGCAAGATGCCGTCAGGCTGCGCACTTGTTCCTCAGAGGTTCGTCATAATATTTCGTGTACAATGATTTTTCAGGAACCTGCATACTATTTGCTGCAGAAAATCAGTGGCACGCGGGCATTGTGACATGTTAAAAACTCAAATAATGGCGCGTTTTTTTGTTTTGTTTTTTAGGGGCAAAATCTCCGTATGTTCTGTGTCGTCGTAGTAGCCAGTTGCATTGCATTGCATGTCAATAAAAACGGTGTCACAGCATATCCACGAAGTGAATGACGATGAGTAGGGCGAAGCATCCATCAGTCCGCCCATGCGTCCGTCCTTCAGTGCGTCCGTGCGTCCGTACGTTCAGTTGTCCGTCTGTCCGTCCGTCCGTCCGTGCTTCGCCCCACTCGTCATCATTCACCTCGCGGATATGCTGTGATTTTTTTTTCTTCGCCTGATGGTATATAGGCAACGTTCTTGACTTCCACCACACAGATTTTCACTAAAATATAAAATGGCCGTTTCTTAAAAACGATTTCGAAACTGCGGAGTTTTCGGTAAACCTCGCATGCTTCGGCACCATATTGAGGCATAACGGCGCGTGGAAAAAAAACTAGGAAAATCATTTTATTGGAAAATGCAAACATGAAAGTCAATATTTATAATTTACTTTCAGTTTAATTTGTCCAAAGTAATGAATTCTTAAGCTACAGCCATTCTGAGTCATTAACCATGTTTTTATGTATTTTTCTCCGAACTCTTTCTATAGCAAAAAGAAACTAAATACATAACATTCCGTTTTTTTTGTTCTTTGCTGTGAATAAGAGTTGGGACGAAAAAGTATAGTTTGTTTTCGCTAGGTGCACTCCAAAATTATGCAATTGCGAAACTGGCGGAAACACGTGTTTAGCGGCCGATATGCGTATATTTGTTTTTGTTTTTTTTTAGGCGAGCAAGTTTTTTTAGCAAGCTTACATCACAAAGATTGTTTTGGATCCAAAGCATAAGGTACATTTCATAAGGTACATTTCATCAAAATCAGAAATAGTGACCGTGATCTAGTGTTCATTCTTACGTGGACAGACGCTCACGCGGTTTGTGCAAATCACTTTATTTTCTGTGCGTGCGTGCGTGTGCGACAGGCAGCAAGAGGCCTTTGCAAAACAGCGGTATCACCACCCCCGTTCCCTCTTACGCGGAAGCTTAGGCACGGCTATGATTTAAGATGTGATCACGAGCCTGACTACGTCCACTGCATGGCAAGGGCCTCTCCCATGTTCCGCCAATCAACACGGTCCTGTTGGTTTCTGCTGCCAGGTTATGTAGGAACAGCGCAACCTAGAACTTCTTGTAGGTCGCGCTGTTCCTATACCTTCAGTTATGTCCTACCAACTTGCCCAAGTTTCCACGCTTCACAGCCACGCTATACTTGCGAAATTCTTAATCCACCTGATTTTCTGTCTTCCTCTCACGCGTTCGCCTTCTCTTGGAATCAAGTCAATTACCCTTAATGACCAACGGTTATCCTGCCTCCGTGCTACGCGCCCCGCCCATTTCTTCTAGATCTCAGCTATATGTATCAGGGTGATTACACGTAAGATCGAACAAAGCGTGGCTCGTCGACCTCATATCTTTTTCAAAATTTTATATATTGTTGCCTGATGATTGAAAAGAAGAGATCCACCATTGGTTTTGCTGTAAATTTTTTTTCGAAGTACAGTAAGCCAATAATGACGAAGAGATGGAGTGCCTCGTTTAACTGATCTGCTCTTTTTTTTTCGAATTTGGCGATGAATTACACAAAATATCTTAAAGCTACATACCTCAAATTCGTTTAACTAAATATAAGCGTAATTTCACTTATGTTCAATTGTTTCGATTCTCTGCGTAGTCTCGATTTTTCATAAAAATTCTGAAATTTGACCTAAAATACGTTTTCTTCCCTACTATGCAGGTTTTATTTCAAAAAGGACCTATGACAGAGCGGTAAAAATTCTGCATTACTTTCTCAGAATGCTTATTTATAAAAGTGCCAAAGTTTATATTAATAACACTTTTCAATAAAAACGTACAATGGCGCTAACTTGAAGAAAAGAGCATGCAAGGGAAACTTCTGACGACTATAAAAAAAACATTTTGGATATTTTTTTATACTTTCCACATTTATTCCTCACCACATCGAATTTCACAGTCAATAAAAGCATGTTGCACATTACCGTTTCGCTTGCACTTACAGCCCATCAAAAAAAAAAAAGCCTTTGCTCAAGGATAGAAAATTGTAGATCGGACTTCCTGCCCGCTAAGTATGGAATATAGGCCTAAACTTCAGTTTCTTAAAGGGCAAGCAACACTGAAATAGCTGTCGACTGCCCTTAGGACACCAATTTAGAAATGATGCGGTCAAGGGAGCGGCCATGAGTGTAAGATTACCGCACTCATGGCCGTTCCATGTGCCGGTGAGGGCCCGTCACTGAGCACGACATGTGGGTCTGAAGATCGTGTAAAATCTGTGATCACGTACATATCGAACTTGTCCAAACAAGCCGAATACCACCTTTGCGGGGGCTGAGCGACAGTAGCAATGGGTGGCTGCTGTGTGCAGCTCACGGCCAGACGACCAACTCAGGATCGTATGCTGGGCCATAGGGGTCGCCGAACTTTCGGCCACCTAGAGCGGCCCGAGGGCTCATCGTCTTCTTCTTACCTGACCCCCTCCCTCGCCTGACCCATTTTTGGCGTCATTAAAGTTGTTTCCTCCTCTTCCTCCTACGGCTTTTCAATTTTGCATGATATTGTATTGAGTAATTATGTCTTGCCCCTGCTAAATTAGCAGTGATAAACACGGTAGTGAATGATTAGAAATTGGTGCTGTACGTATGGGGTTCATTGAGGCACAGCTGCATCAAGCTGTGATGTATAAGTCGGTAACTCTGCGAAAATTTCGTGTCTTTGAAAATGAGCTTCTTGGCCTTATCGTTCGAATGGTATAGTCTGCACAACGATTTTGCCAGGAGCTACACTTTGCCGCCACGAAGCGCACAGCAGCGGAGCAAAGCGCGAGCACTATCGGAGTCAAATGAAGTGTGAGTAGCGGACTGTGTGCACGGCCAGTACAAGTCGTCTGCTGCCGCCCACAATTTCCTTTTTTGATTTGGCTCATGGAGCACCACGTTTATGGTTTTCACTCGGATCGATGCGTGCAGCGCGGCTTATTTAGCTAAAGCGGCTGTGACCCGCGTGTGGGAAGCAAGCGCTCGCAGCTTAATTCCTGACAAGAGTTTTCAGGTGCTTCCCACCGAGGAAACACGGTGAAATCTCGAATTCCTCGTCGATGCCTCGAAGTGTTTCTTGTGCGGGCGCCGAATACGATCGGCCAACTTGAGCTACAGACAGCGAATCTGTGACCTTGGCCGATAGCCCCTGTCACGGCCGCTGGATAAAAAACAAAAAACCCCTCATCCAGTGGCCGTGCCCCCGTGTATACGCGCTCAGCGCGTGCGTTGGAATCCTAGATCAGTCACCTCGGGCCACTTTTGTTTAAATATACAAGTACGTATTGTAGACGTGCTTCTGTGTGCGTTTACTTTAGACACACAAAAAAGCGCAAACAATGTCTGCTACGTCTGCAATGTTAACAGACGTAGCTGCTATGCGAGCAAAATGCGGATAACATAGCTATGCTCCAATGCCCACGCATGTAAGTTACACCCTCCTGTATTGCAACGTATCCGTCTGAGCAAACGAAAACGAGCCCCTTTTGCCCCGGAACTCGCCGGACTGCGCGCGCTTGCGTTCTCGTCAATACCGGACTCATGACCGCCGCTCCCGTTGCCAAACCCCTTCGAAATTGGCGTCCTCAGTGCAATAGACAGCTATTGCAGTGTAGCTCCCATAAGAAACCGAAGTATAGGCCTGCATTGCATACTTAGCGGGCAGGAAGTCCGATCAACCGTTGCCTATCCTTGCGCCAGGGCGTTTTTTTTTTTTTTTTTTGACGGGTCATAAGTGCAAGTGAGACCATATTATGCAACATGTTTTGTATTGATCGTGAAAGCTGATGTACAGGAGATTAAGTGGGGAAAGTATCAAAAAGTGTCAAAAATGTTTCTTTAGTCGTCGTCAGAAGCTTCCCTTGCATGTTCTTTTCTTGAAGTTAGCGCCATTGTATATTTTTATTGAAATGTGTTATTCATATAAACTTTGGCACTTTTATAAATAAGCATTCTGAGAAAGTAATGCAGAATTTTTACCGCTCTGTCATAGGTCCTTTTTGAAATAAAACCTGCAAACTAGGCAAGGAAAAAAACGTATTTTGGGGCAAATTTGAGAATTTTTATAAAACAATCTACACTACGCAAATAATCGAAATATAATCGATAGGAAGTGCAAGTACGCCTATATTTACCTAAACAAATGTGAGGTACGTAGATTCAATATATTCTGTGTAATAATCGCCAAATCAGAAACAGCAGTGCAGGTGACCCTGGCACTCCACCTTTTCGTCATTATTGATTACTGCGCTTCAAATTTTTGTTTTCTGGCTACACCAATTGCGGATCCTTTCTTTCCCTTCAAGCAACAATATATAAAGTTTTGAAGGAAATTTAAGAGGTCTACCAGCCA